TTAAAAACACAGTAAATCAGTGAGACAGTCATAATTATTATAAATTGAAGGAGCAATACAGAGAATCAAGAAGCAAGAGAGGGCTTAGAAAGATGTCTTCTTAAGTGTCCAACCCTGAAAGGCTGAGAGTCATTTGTCACCATTAATTTATGCTCTTAGCATGCAGTATACAGCCTCAGTTCTGGTATTACACATTGCTTATAGGCCATGTGCTGTCAGATGATTAAAACCATGAACCCAATGTCCTCATCTATATAATAGGGATGATGAGACTACCTACCTCATAGAACGTTGCAAAGTTTCTAAAATGGTTAGCACGGTGCCACAAACATGTAAGCACCAGTTATACCTGATAATGTTGAATGTTTATTTCTATCAAAACAACACCTTTGATCCCTTGTGGGTAGGAACCAGACACTGGCTGATTTTCTGGTGAGTGTTTTTGTGAATGACAGAGGAAGCAGCTGTCCCTCAGGGCCAACCCTGTACATCTATATGATGGCTAGCCTAGAGACTGGCCAGGAGGGGAGAAAAACTAATTGATCCCTCTGAGCATTCAACTCAGGAACTGAACTTAGGACCCTGATTTAATTACACATTACCCTTTATTCCACTCAGCTAACAAGGTATTTTACAAATCTGGAGCTTCACATGACTTATTCAGCCTGCCTGCTAGGAAGGGAGGGCACAGCCCTTAGCTAGAGGTGTTCTGTCAGGAGGAGCACAAACTGGAGGAGAGGGGACAGGTCTGCTGAGAGGAGAAATGGTGTAAATTCTGGGGACTTTCTAGCAACATATTTGTCTGTGGACCAGCAACACAGGTGTCACTGAGGGCTTCGTGGAAATGTGGGAACTCAAGTCCAAGCCCCGCTCTACAGAATCTGAATCTTCCTTAACAAATCCACAAGGGATTCACATGCACACTGAATTTGGAGGCACTGCTCCAAAAGATTTTTCTAACTTTGCTGCACATTTGAACTGTCAGAATACTTTTAAAATTTCTAAATGTCCAGGCCATCTCCAGACCAATTAAAGCAGAATATCTAAAGTTGGACCTAGACATCTGCAACTTCTGCAGCCTTCCAAATACTTTGAGACCCACTGCTCCAAAATGTAACTGTAAGGATGGCACAGCTGCTTCTAAGGCTGGTTTTTGCTGGCAGATTCAGTAGGCCAGGCCTGAGAAGGCCTGAGTCTGGGGGTAATGAGAGGTGCTACCACCCGTGTGAAGGCCTTTGTAAGCTGGAGCCAGACAGACTCAAACTGAATCCCAGACCACCAATTAGCACCTGGATGGCCTCAGGAAAGTTATTTAATTTCCCTTGCTTTGGTTTTCTCATAGGTAAGATAATACCTAGTTTGGAGTGTTGTGATCAAAATAAAAAGCAATGCATTTAAAGTAGCTGTCACATGGTGGGAAATAAATAAATAAAAAGAATTGATTACATAAATATATTATTTATTACAATATTTTTCATTGTTCCACATTAAAGATGTCCAAATGACTAAACTCCCTGCATTTAATGATGTTCTGGACAAAGTGTGAACATTTCAGTTTTAAAAAGTGATATTTTCTCTATGAATAAATGAAAGACAAAGTCCAAAGCTGTGGGTGACAGGAAAGCCAGTGTATAAAAAGCTGACCAGTAATTTTAAATGACTATATGATCTAGTCTCCTACTGCTTAATATATATATATATATTGCATACTGAATAGATAATTTCACCTAAGATAACCATGAAAAGAGACATCCTATAGCCAGGTATTACCAGGATTGCCAGGAAAAATTGAAACTACCTAAGTGGCTACAGTTCCTTACACTAGTGAACTGAGTAACTATTGTGAAACTGCTCTCTTCCAGTTTAACAGAAGAGTTCAGATAATAATGATCAATCAAGAGAAAACTACCTCTAATTTCACTAACTGAAACAAATTATTGTCCTAGAAGAAAACACAAAACATCCACACCATGGAATGTATAGCCACACTTCAACCACTAACCTGTTATAAAATAGTAAACTATACTAAAAAGTTGCTCTGTATCTTCTAATCGCTTTTTAAAATATTTTCACTGATTTTTTAGTGAGAAAGAGAGAGAGAGAGAAACAGACAGAGAGAGAGATTGCACCTGACCAGAAGTCAAACCCACACCCTTGATGTATGGAAATGATGCTCTGACCATTTGTGCTACCTGACCAAGGCCTGTGTATTCTAATTTCTTAAGAACATAGAATGTTCCCAACTCTCTGCTAAGAATTAGGGCTAAAAAATGTAAGCTAATTACAGTTGTTGTCCACAAGGCATTTATAGTCTAATAGAGAAACCAGGTAAGTCAAAGCAATTTCAAAAGCAGAGAAAATTTTAAAATAGTTAATAAGTAACTGCCTGTCAGGGTTCTGGCATCGTATTATGAGAACAAGTTTCAAGATGGGTCACGGAGGCCCCCAGTGTATCTTTTAAATGCAAGGTTAAACAATACTGTATTCCTGGAGAGGAAGCAAGATGACCACAAAATTATGGGGGCTACTGGGACATCTTGGGAATTTTATCAATGGGCCAGAAAATATTTTGGTTGAGCTATATTGGTGCTTCCTAGGCTTGAATAGAGGTTAAGTACAGGTACTGGGCTAGCCTACAGGAAAAGGCCCTTTTCCATTCTCAGTGGATGAGGCAAAGCTTCCTAACAAAAATTAATATTGCCAAGCCAGAAACAGTATTCTGTTTTCTTCTGAATTTATTTCACTTAGCAATCTGAAGAAGTTATATCTGATGTGTGTGATTGCAGCCCACAGGCCTACTGGCTTATGAGAGTGCACTGCTCACAATCCACTCTGGGCTCCAAAGGCACAGATCTTTCCAGGATCTCAGGCACCTCACTCCTCAGCCTGAAGTGATGAATCCTACAATTTCTTTTACTTAATGTCTCAATAGCATCACACTCATCTGCTCCTACATTCGAGACACATTGCCATATAATAATAAGGCCTGGCTGCTTGTAAGAAGCATTCAGAGAAAATGCTCTCCAGCAAATATTAGAACAAGCAAGCAGGTGATAGCTAAAATCTACCTCTCAACCAATGCCAATCCAGACTCCTTCAGGTCATTGGGGGGAAAAATCATTGCTCTTGCCTGGGCCAAGCCAATTCTGAGCACTCAGCACAAGGAGAGTTGAGGCTCTAGAACCATCCTGGGAATGGTTTTCACCATGGGTGGGGGCAAAACAGGTGAGAGGAGGAGGAGCTCTGTAAATCTAATTGGCAGGCCTGGTTAGAGCCCTTGCTTTCACCTAGCACATGCATGGGTGAGTCATCTATCATCCTCTAAGCTTCCTTCTATTTGATCTGAAAAACAAAAGATGGTAATGAGATGTTGTCTATCTTAGAAGGAACTGTTTTGACTCTAGAGAATCACTTTCAGGTCTCAATCTCTGGCCCTCCACATGCTATACTAATTAGAAAAATTGCCCTGTCAGGTCTTAGCTTTCTGGCCTGTGAAACTGGAAAACATTTTCTGTAAGGATTAAAACTTTGATCAATATTCACGTGCACCAGTGATGGGCTGGGCATCTTTGTGTGTTTTGGTGGTGCTCCTGACAATGCAAAAATGAGTAAGTAAGTACGTAAGTACGTGAATAAATAAATAAATAAATAAATACACACACCAATAAGATGGTGCTTGTTCTGAAGGAGCTTATGACCATTCGGAGGCATGTTCCAATGATACACAGGAATAAACAGAAATTTTCAACAGGTGATAAATTCAAAAGAAGTGCCCAATTAATAAATACTCTGGAGCATTCCGAAGCTGTAAGAGAAGGCTGGCTGTGATGCTGTGTTGCATGCACTAACCATCACAGAAAATTACAATGGTGAAAGAAGAATCACTCCAGGTTGCTACATCACTTATGCTAAAAACACCTGGCCATAGCCAGTTGAGTACAGGACTCTTATTAGTCATCATTTCTAAATTTCAGAATCTACTAATTATTCCCAATTTAGAAGAATGCTGAGGCTAACAGTAGCTAATTATTAGAATCAAGATACTCAGCTAGGTCCTGATTTTCAAACGTTTTGTTTTGACACCAATGATGTATTTTGCATATATTGAATAGTGATTAGAATCTTTTTTTTATTTTATTGTATTTTCCTGTTACCATTTACCCCCTTATACTCACCCCATGTAATTGCCATGCTCTTGTCCATGTCCATGAATCCTTTTTCCTTTTTGTTCTATCCCTCCATTCCAACCCCATAGCTGTCATCATTCCCTCTATTCTAAGGGTCTGTTTATTTTGCTTGTTACTTTAATTTGTTCATTATTTATCACATACAAGTGAAATTTTATGGCATTTGCTGTTCTTAGACTGTCTTATTTCACTTAGCACAATGCTTTCTAGGTCCATCCATGCAGTTGCAAAGGGTAAAATTTTCTTTGTTTTTTTTTTACAACCAAGTAGTATTCACTGTGTAAGTGTCCCATAGTTGTTAAATCTACTCATTTACTGATTGACAACAGGCTGCTTCTATATATTGGCGATTGTAAATAATGCTTCAGTGAACATGAAGGTGCATATGTCCTTTCAAATAAATGTTTTGGGTTCCTTCAGATATATTCCTGGAAGTGGGATCACTGGATCAAAAGGCAGATCCATTTTTAATTATTTTAGGTATCCCGATCCTGCTTTTCATAATGGTTTCATTGGTCTGCATTCCCACCAGCAGTGCAAAATGGTTCTCCTTTTTTGACATCCTCACCAGCACTTGTTGTTTGTTGACTTCTTGATGATAGGCATTCTGACACGTATGAGGTGATGTCTCACTATGATTATAACTTTCATTTTTCTGATGATTAGTGACATTGAACATCTTTTCATATGTTCATTGGCCATCTGTATGCTCTCTTTGGAGAATGTCTATTCAGATCATTTACCCATTTTTTAATTGTGTTATTTGGTTTTCAAGCATTGAGATTTGTAAATTCTTGATAAATTCTGGATATTAACCCCCTGTTAGATGTATTGGCTAATATGTCCTCCTTGCTCATGGGCCATGCTAATCTTCTCTGTACCATTCTAATTTTTGTATATGTGCTACCAAAGCAAGCACAAATGTATTGGCTAATATGTTCTACCATTGTGTGGATTATCTTTTCATTTTGTTGTTAATCTCTTTCACTGTGCAAAAACTTTTTAGTTTGATATAGTTCCAATTGTGTATTTTTTCTTTTGTTTCCCTTGCCTGCGGAGATATATCAGATAAAATATTACTGTGAGTGATATCTAAGATTTTACTGATGATACTTTCTTCTAGGATAGTAATGGTTTTGGGTCTAATATTTAAGTCTTTAATCCATTTTTTTAAAGATTTTATTTATTTATCTTTTAGAGGGAAAGGGAAGGAGAGATGGAGAGAAACATCAATGTATGGTTGCTTTTTGTGCATCCCCTGCTGGGAATTGGCCTGCAGGGAACTGGCCTGCAACCCAGGAATGTGCCCTGACTGGGAATCAAACCGCGATTGTCTGGTTCGCAGGCCCATGCTCAATCCACTGAGCTACACCAGCCAGAGCCCAAGTCTTTAATCCATTTTGAATTTATTCTTGTGTGTGGTGTAAGAAAGTGGTTTAGTTTCATTTTTCTGCACGTCTAATTTTTCCTACACCATTGATTGTATAGACTAGCCCATTGTATGTGCTTCCTTCCTTTGTTGAATATTAATTGACTATAATTGTGTGTGTTTACTTCTGGGTTCCATATTCTGTTCCATTGAGCTTTGTGTCCATTTTTATGCCAGTACCATGATATTTGATTACTCTGGCCTTAGAGTGTCGTTTGAGTTTAGGTAGATTAATTACTCCAACTTTATTCCATTCTTATGATCGCTGTTGCTATGCTGTAGTGTTTTGTGGTTCCATGTACATTTTTTGAATTTTTTAATCTTTTTCTGTGAAATAAGTCATTGGAATCTTCATAGGAATTGCATTGATCTATAGATTACTTTAGGTAGCATGGACCTTTTAATTATGTTAATTCTTCCTATCTATGAACATTGATAAGGGTCTGAGCAGGTAATGAGTTCATTTCCCAAAGTTTTATAGCCTTTTAACTAACTGACCCTGACTCAGAATAAGCCCTCATAGCTTTTTATATATTTCTATTGTTTGATTATTACTGCCTGATAATGATTGATGAGCTTTACCTGCATTCCTGTGCAAACTAAACCCAATAAAAGCCCACTGAGGGACAGGCTCAAGGCCCTTCTCCTTTGAAAGATCAGCCACCTCTCCTCTCCAAGCCGATCATGTCTTGGTAAACTTACTCTCATTCATGGCAGCCCAGGAAACCTTGTGGATAGAACCACCTCCCCCAACAATGCATTGCTATATTTGGTTTACTAATATGTTGTTGAGGATTTTGGCATCTATGTTCATCAGATATATTATTCTGTAATTTCCTTTTTTTTATAGTGCCCTCATCTAGTTTTGAAATTAGGATAATGCTAGCCTTGGAAAATGAGCTTGGCACCTTTTACTCCTTTTAAATTTTTTGAAATAGTTTGAGAAGGAGAGGTGTTAGGTCTTCCTGGAATATTTGATAAAATTCACCTGTGAAGCCATTTGGTAAAGGGATTTTGTTTGCTGGGAGTTTTCTGATTACTGCTTCAATTTTGCTAAATATAATTTGTTTATTCTGATTCTCTGATTTTCTTGGTTTAGTTTTTAAATATTATATGTTTCTAGAAAGGTATTCGTTTCATCCAGGTTATCAATTTTTTGGCTATAGTCATTCATAACATTTTCTTATAATCTTTTATATTATTTGGTGTCATTTTTTATTTCTCCTCTTTTACTTCTAATTTTAATTATTTGGATCCTCTCTCTTTCTGGGTTTAGGTTTGTTAATTGTGTTTATCTTTTCAAAAAACTAGCTTTTGGATTAATAGATCTTTTTTATTATAATTTTAGAGTTAATTTCATTTATTTCTGCTTTGATCTGTATTAGTTCCTTCTCACTTTTGGCTTTGTGTGTTGTTCTTTTTCAAGTTCCTTTAAGTGTAAATCTAAATCGTTTATTTGAGATTTTCCTTGATTTTTAAAAATAGGCCTGTATTGCTATGCATTTCCCTCCTAGGGTTGCTTCCCCTATGTCCCAAAGAATTTGGATTGTTTTGTTCTCTTTTTCATTTGTTTCGAGGTGTTTTTTTATTTCTTCCTTAATCTCATTGTTGAACCATTATGTTTAATAGTATGTTAGTTAGCTTCCATCTCTGTGTATTTTTCAGTGTTCTTCTTATTATTGATTTCTACTTTCACAGCATTGTGGTCATGGAAAATGCTTGATATTATTTCAATCTTAAATTTATTGAGACATGTTTTGTGTCCTAACATGTGATGTATCCTAGAAAACTTCCATGTGCACTTGAAAATGTGTATATTCTGCTGCTTTCAAGTGAAATGTTCTAAAGATACAATTAAATCCATTTGATCAAGTGTATCATGTAAGGCCACTGTCTCCTTGTTGATTTTCTATCTGGAAGATCTATCCATTGAAGTCACTGGGGTGTTAAAATCATCTACAATGACTGTATTTGTGCCAATCTCTCCTTTTTGTCCATCAAGATTTGCTGTACATACATAGGTGATCCTGTGTTGGGTGTATGAATCTTTTAAGGCCATACCCTCTTATTAGATTGTTCCCTTTATCACTATGTAGCACACTTCTTTACCTCTTATTATAGCCTTGGTTTTAAAGTCCATTTCATCAGATACAAGGACCGTTACTCCAACTTTTTTCTTCCTATCCATAGTAAGAAATATCTTTTTCCACCCCTTTTCTTTTAGTCTCTAAGTATCTTTTGATCTGAGGTGGGTCTCTTAGAGACAGCATATATATGAGCCTTATTTTCTTATCCATTTAGCTACCTCATGTCTTTTGGTTGCAGCATTCAAGCCATTTATATTTCAGATGGTTATCGATAGATACACAGTTATTGCATTTTATTTTTAAACTATTTTCCTCTGGTTTTATTTTTCTTCACCATCTTCTTCTTAAAGAGAGTGCTTTAACATTTCTTGCAGTACTGGTTTGGTATTAACAAACTCCTTTAGCTTTTTCTTATCTGGAAAGTGCTTTCTTTCTCCTTCAACTTTTTTTTTTTCTCCTTCAACTTTTAAATTATACCCTTGCTGTGTAAACTAGCTTTGGTTGTAGGTCCTTGATTTTCAATCGCCTTGAATATTTTGTGTCAGTCCCTCTTGGCCTGAATGTTTGGTTGAGAAATTAGATGGCAATCGATTTGGAGCTCCTTTGTAGGTAACAACCTGTTTTTCTCTCCTGGCTTTTAGGATTCTCTCCTTGTTTATAAAGTGTCATTTTTATCATAATGCGTTTTGGTGTAGTCTTTTGTTCAGTCTTGTTTGGGATTCTCTGAACTTCCTGGATATGTATAATTTCTTCTTTCACAAGACTGTGAAAATTTTCAGGCATTATTTCCTCAAATATGTTCTCAATTCCTTGCTTATTCTCTTTTATTTCTGGTATTCCCATGATAGGGATGTTGCATAACTTGTATGTCCCAATGGTTTTTTAAGCTCTCTTCATTGCTTTAATTCTTTTATCTTGCCAAATTCCAAGACAAAGAGAAAATCTTAAAGGCAGCAAGAGAGAAAAAAGAAGTAACATACAAGGGAGCCCCAATAAGGTTAGCTACTGACTTCTCAATGGAAACACTCCAAGTAAGAAGAGAATGTCAAGAAATATTCCAAGTAATGAGAACCAGAGGCCTACAACCAAGGCTACTTTACCCAGCAAGGATCTCAATCAAGATAGAAGACCAATTAAAGAGCTTCCAGGACAAAAGAAGTCTAAAAGATTATGCCTCCACCAAACCAGCCTTACAAGAAATACTAGAAGGACTGCTTTAGGGAAAGGAAAGAAAAGAGAGAGACAGAGAGGAACACAGGTACAAAAATGGCAATGAATAATAACCTTAAATGTAAATAAATTAAATGCTCCAATTAAAAGACATAGAACAGCTGAATGGATAAGAAAGCATGACCCACACATATGATGCCTAAAAGAGCCCAACCTCAGGAGAAAAGATCACCACAGACTAAAGGTCAAAGGCTGGAAATAAAATTTCCAAGCAAACAGACAAGAAAAAAAAAGCTGGGGTAGCAATTCTCATATCAGACAAAATAGACTTCAAAAAAAGGGCCATAAGTAGAGACCCAGAAGGTCACTTCATAATACTCAAGGGAAGAATCCACCAAGAAGACATTAACATCATAAATATATATGCAACCAACATAGGAGCACCAAAATATATCAAGAAAATCTTAGAGGACTTCAAGAATGATATTGACAGCAACACAATTATAGTAGGGGATTTTAACACCCCGCTATCAAAAATGGACAGATCTTCCAAACAAAATATCAATAAAGATATTGTGTCATTAAACAACACCCTAGAGGAAATGGACTTAACTGACATATACAGAGCCCTTCAACCCAAAGAAGCTAAATACACATTCTTTTCAAATGCACATGGAACAGTTTCAAAGATAGACCACATAATAGGACACAAAATGAGCCTCAAAAAATTCAAGAAAATTGAAATCATACACAGCATTTTCTGTGACCACCAGGGACTGAAACTGGAAACCAACCCCAAAGGAAAAAACCCAAAACACCCAAAATCATGGAGACTGAATGGTATGCTATTAAACAATGAATGGGCCAAGAATAAAATTAGGGAAGAAATCAAAACGTTTCTGGAAACGAATTAAAACAAACTTACAACAACCCAAAATTTATGGGACACAGCGAAGGCAGTCCTGAGAGGGAAGTTTATAACAATATAGGCCTACCTAAACAAGATAGAAACATTTCAAACAATCAACCTAACCCTACACCTGCAAGAACTCGAGGAACATCAACAAAGACAGCCCAGAGCAAGTAGAAGGAAGGAAATAACCAAGATCAGAGCAGAACTAAATGACACAGAAACTAAAAGCACAGTTCTAAGGATCAATGAATGCAGGAGATGGTTCTTTGAAAAATAAACAAAACAGACAAGCCTTTAAGTAGGCTCATCAAGAAAAGAAG